TGAGGCACTACATATACAGGATAAATTAAAGGCCCTGCTTCAAATAACTCACTGTCCAAGGGGTAGCCCAAAAAAAAAAAAAAAAAGCAACTTTTTTCATTCGTATTATTTGAGGGTCTTCATGACTGAATTTTCTGTTGACAGTGACAAGTCTAGTAGCAAAGAACACAGGGAAAGCAGACTCAGGATAAGCTGCCTGTATCATCTGTATGCAGACAGAACATCAAATAGTATCCCCCTCACTCCCTACGGCAAAATCCACTTACACACTGGGACTTTGAGGGAGGTAGTTCTCTCATTTGCTGCCCCTGTAATCTTAATTCAGGTGTTGTAATCTTAATTCAGATCTCCTAGATTAGAAGGAATCATGGGCGACTGGTGCCACCTTAGTCACCACCCCCCCCCATGACCAGTCCCGTCAACAGGGTGGGGACTCCCCCATGGGCAATCCTGTGGAGGGGGGGGTCCCCCCAGGGCAATCCTACTTCCGATTGCTGCAGCTGCTCCCAGAAGCAGCTGCAGTCACTCCTGGAAGCGACTGCAGCTGCAGCGATCCGCTGGGGCTTGCAGGGGGGCATTGGTGCTCCTGTCTGCCCCTCCCCACCCATCGCCTATGTGGCCAATCAGGGGGTGCATGTGCACTCCCTACGCATCACCACTGGAAGGAATCATAGTGTCCACATCAGCTCTATTCTGAAACAAGGAGGGAAACATAAGTACCCACTATTGACTCTGATGTGGCTGCAAGAAGAGCCAGTGTGCTCCGACATTGCAGTTAATGTTCACAGACAAGCCATTCAACTTTCTACTTTCTTTTGAGTAATTTTTGTTAAGGTACAGTGAAATTAGACATAGAAATATTGATTAGAAAACTGAGCCCAACCCACTGCAAGTACAAAACAAAGTCCTGAGAGAGGATAATTTACTGATAGGGCTTTTGCTTAGCTAAAATGTCTCAGACCAGGAGATTTTCATTAATAAGGTATTGGTAGACTCATGCCATTCAGAGTAATGACAGCAACCCTATTTCCAATTAAGTTAAGCACTTAATTTTATAATATATAATATACAATTTTATAAAACAATTTTATTTTTGTTATTTTCAGCACAGCTATTGAGGCACTACTTCAACAATATTGAGGCAAAACAACTTTCTAAGTAAAAGGACTGTGAGATGATCCTATGGGTGGAGCTGTTGATACAACTGCATTTAAGATTGGTATGGAAGTTTTGGTTGAACGAAACCAAAAGTAAATTGTTTTTGTCTCTGTTGACAATGGAAGTGAATGACTTAGAGATACATGTAACCAATAGTGTTATAGGCACTGGGAAGGTGGAAACACTTACCCTATTTCCAAGTTTGTTGGTTGGGTGACCAACACCAATGACCTTTCTTGAAGCAAAGTTTTAATTTGTGTTGATATTAAAAAAAGATTCATTGTGCAATTTTGAGAAATAAGAAACAGGCCATTTATCAAACAATCTGTGATTAAACAGCAGGGTTCACACTAATCAAATTGTAGGCAAAACACTTTGTTTTACATGTAAGTCTGTTTTTTTGCATCGACAAGGAGCCTGGAAGGGGTGAAAGAGGGGGGTATTCTTCCTAGGGAAAAAGAGATGAAAGACATGTATGCACACACATGCAATTGGCTTTTCTGCCTAAAATGAAAAAAAAGCCTGTGGTTTAGGGTGCATCTCAAAATACAGGTAGCAGGCCCTGCTTTGTCCATTACAGCCTACAAGAGAGATGCAATCTGTGTATGTTGATCCTGCTACTGGTAAATCATTAGGGCCTAGACAGCTGCTGAAGCTGTTTGCAGTGGGTGGATTTAGTGCGTTTTGCCACGCCTCCTTTACCCTCTACAAGAAGAGCTCAGACACAAGCTGCTTCTTTGCCTGTTGCTCATTCAGTCTCTCTCATGCGTGAATTTGCTGAATCTGAATCCTAGTTACTGAGTCCACACGCAACCTACAGCTATGGTAAGTCACTGCTTGGAAGGCCATAATTCCCTTTACATGTGCCAGCTATGATATTTGAAAGTCAAAGAGATTTAAGTCAGCAGTTCTAGCCTAGAAAAAGAGTTAGTAGAAAGGGAGAGAAAAAACAGAGCTCTATTCTTTGGTTAATGAATAACATGGGGAAATCCATGGGCAAGCAGTTCACAGTACTAAAGTGGGTGTTTACCGGTGTTTTTCTACGTGGGGGAGTTGGGCTTTAGGGGGCAATCGTTCCTGATTGCAAAACTGCATTTCAGATATGACTAGCTAGCATCGACACTGTTAAGAATACAGTAGCCATTGCCACAGTCATATCAATATACAGCTAGGAAATAATCGCAGGTGGTTATCTTGTATGTAGGTGCACTGACCCTTACACATGAAACCATTGTATGTCGTTCTCAGCTGTGTAGGGCTAGGAGGTTCCTATGGCTATAGCAGGAATACAGCAAACTGGACTTAAGTTTTTATTAATAGCATTGTACAGGATCCTAGACTGGAAGTCCCAGGAAATGCAGACTACAAGGGAGATGAATAGGTGGAATTTTCATGGGAGCCTAACACTACAGTAGCAGAAGATGCTGCTCATCAGGACTGAGGTGTTTTGATACATATGGTGCAGGTTGAGGTGCTATTGGATATTGACCTCTAGCTTCTCACTTTCATAAGCATGAGGCAGCCTTTAAAAGGAAACTGTTAAATTAATTGTTTTTTTTTTCTTTTTTTTTTTAAATTTCAAGTGGGCATGCAAAGATTATTCTCCCCTAAGTGCACGAGTTGGTTCCTTTGCATCAGTTGCATGACATACTTATTATGTTGCAGACAGGAAAAAAACAAAACAATGCCAATGCTGTGGAAAACACATTGCAGATGTAAGTTTTATTAAATTGAACACACATGTTTTAAAGAAGAAAGCATGTGGGAAGAATTGCAACATTGACAGAAAACAGCCCAGTACAACCAAATCTGGGGACAGAAAGCTAAGATATCCTAGTCTGGTCAAATGGGTTGGGGAAAGGAAGGTGCAGAGGAGCATTTGGCTTCAGAAGAGGCCGGTGCCTGGGAGATCCAGGTGACATGTCTGTTATGAGATTTCCTTATTCTACAGCAAGCTCAACACTTAGTGAGGGATTCAGGGCCCTACACTTGCCTATCTGCCACACCCAGGCTTTGTGCTGTTAATAAGAACAGAAGTGGAAGGGCATTCAAAGTAAGAGTCTAGACCACTGGGGGCCAAATTTGTAGCAGGTGTGCCACAGATTAGCCCCACAACCTCCCCAGGTGATGTTATGATCCACTTCCTCTGCCCAATCTGCTTATGGTTTCTGCTTCCTACCCTGTGCTCCTTGCCTGATCTTCCGGTTTGTGTACCACTGGATGGCCATCCCAGTCTAGACTCCTGTTATCACAACCACTTATGTCAAATAATAGACCATATTCAGTCAAATCCAAGACATCGAGTTTAAGATGACCTCTCACTAATTATAAATTTTCCATGTCAAAAATCTAAATGTTATAATTTTTCATCTACAGAATCTAATTACTGGAGGACAGTTTTAAATACCTCCCCCACCTTACTGTAGCAAGGCAAGCAGCAGGGGAGTGAAGCAGACTGACCCCTGCCCCATGCTGCCTATTTCCCCCACCACCTACCCTCCTCCTGGCTGTCGTCCCCCCCACCCCATGCTTGCATCCCCTGGTTTCTGCCCCCCACATAGTGCCTGCCTTCCCTAGCACCTGCCCCCCTCCCACTCCCCAACTACTTGCCCCCTCCCTGTCTCTCCCCGCTTCTGGCCCCCCTGCTGCCTGCCTCCACTTACCTTTCCCAGTTACCTTCCTATTGCGGCTCCAGCTGGGGCCCTGCCAGAGTCCCAGGCACAGGACACGTGCTGCCTCTGGCCCCTGCCCAATGAAGCAGCACCAGCAGCA